GTGTGTCCGAGTGTAAGTGCATGACCGCGAACGCCCCACAAGGAAGGCTATCTTGAAGGGCATCCTTATATATGGCATGGAAATTTCATAAAGTGCAATTCATTTTAACACAATTTGTGTGGTTTCCGTATGAGAAACAAAATACACTGCACAACAAAAGTGGGGCACTTTGCACTAACATTTTTGATAACTAAAGAGGAATTTATTTAAAGCAACAAAACTAGAGTCTTATCAAGGGTAATAATATCTGTTAAATATGGCGAAATTAAACTGTTCCAAAATAAAACTGTTCTCAGATCAAAGCTTTTTGTAAAGAGCACATTTAAATAGGCACTAAATAAATAAGTGAAAACGCACTTGATAATAAAAACAAAAAGACAGTCTAATCAAATTTATTAATTTGTGTTCAATATTTTGCAGAGAAATTGCTTCAAACAAAAACTGTTCCCAGGTCTAAGCTTTTTCGAAAGAGAACAGTCCGGAAGGAGCAAAATCTTGAAATGCTCTCCTGTACTCTTGCTCTACCCAAAACTAAAAGGTCACCAGATCATGTACACAGTTTTAAGTTAAACTGTTCCTAGCTACGCTTTTGCATAGACGAAAGCTTTTTGTGAAGAGAACAGTCCTGCGCTACATTAAAATAAAAGTTAAGACTAGCAAAGTAGCTGGGAACGAATTTCGATTGCAATTGCTCTCCAGCTTGACTTTACCTAAACTTTACTGTAATTGTGCATAGATTAAGGACTTTCAGAACAGTCGTAGAAAGGCGAACGTATTAAAAGCTCAAAGCTTAATTCACACGAGCTTTACTCTCTAGTGCTCTCCATAAGCACGCGTAAAGATCAATATTTAGTAATTAAAACTGTTCCTAGATCAAAGACTTTCGTGCTGAGAACAGTCATAAAGTTACCAAATAATGGAAAGCTTTATTGAGAGCACAAAATTAACTGCACCTGAGACGACAGGTGGTCAGCCTGTGGGCAGCGAACTTTGCTTTAGATCGTTAATTGAATTATAAAATCGACTTTAGGAGAGACTTCAATGATGATGGATCTTATGTTATATGAGCACGAATATCTTTGTCTGTCTGTGTACCTCTTGCACAATACGCTTTTAATGAAAATGCATAAGCCGTAAAATCATTTTGTTGTTGTTGTTTTTTTATGGAGCCTAAGCAATAAATAAACCTATCCAATGTTTCTTGATAATCGTGCATTGCTTTGCACTCAACCGAATAATGTGGGTAATAAATGTTGCTGCCGCTTGGCGCTTCGATCGTCAAAGCTTTCGTCACAAATGCCTTGACATTTCATCAAGCTTGCAAAGCTCCAAGTGTGGGGAGAGAGAGGTTGGGCGAGCTTAAAACATGTTGCGCAGTGTAGTCGCATGTAAGCAGCTTATTTATGCGAACCATGGAAAAAGGGACGTAGGACACGTGGTGACAGGCAGATGCTGAATAGGTGTAGAGAGAGAGGAGGGAGAGGAGGGATAGGAGGGAAAGGGTTTGCAGTTAATGTTAAGAGCGACAACAGCAACGGCAACAGCAAAGGTCAACGTTGACTGATGCACGCAGACGAATGCAGCTGATACCCGCTGCACGCGGTCCCTAAAACCAAAGGGGCGAGCAGTCGCGACTGCTGGATACCCTGTAACAAGTTCTTGAAGTGCTCGCAAAAGTAGAATAGAATCTATCAAACATATTTGCAATATAATGCAATTATTTAATGGGATATCGACTAGAAGATACCCTGTAGCAGTGTTTATAAGTTGTATTTTACATCATTTTAGCCGAGTCTCAACTAGCAGATACCCTATGAAAAGTTATAAAAGTGTTTGAAAAGAATCTATCATTGATCTATAAGATCATTGACTGCTAGATACTCTGTGAAAAGCTAGTTGATGCTTAAATACAAAACTGCTAGATACCCTGTAGTAACTTAGAATTTCTATTTTGTATGACATTTAGAGCGCCAAATGTAATTAAATATGCACACATTCATTTTAAGTCAGTTTGATCGAATATTAACTCTGAGATACCCTGTAAAATTTTGGTGAAACTTGTTGTTGACAAAACATAGAGATTTAATGCCCGAGTGAGATCTGCTTAGGCACATAAACATAACAGTATTATAGTGAACAACGACTGTTAGATACCCTGTAAATTTGAAAGAAACTTGCAACATTCAAATCAACTAATTATATAATACTTTAATAGAAAAAAACCCTTCTATTAGCATGTACTATGTTACTATTCTTAACATATCGAGTCAAAGATACCCTGTAAGTGAAAAATGCAGCCTCATATTCAATTTTTTATGCCAACCAGTCTTTGATATAATCTCAATGAGAGGCAGAGCACATTTCTCAAAAATCGGTATACCCTACTCAATCAGTTGACAGCACAGGGTATCAAAATTAGGCAAAAAAAGTGTCCCAACTAGCAGAAACTGTAGCCAAATACCACGACTACATATCAAGGAAGGCAGAAAAACCAACTGTACAACATGCGAGGCAAACACCAACACGCAAGCCGATTGAGATGGAGCCAGATGGAGCCAGATGGAGGCAGATGGAGGCCGAGGTTGAGGCCGGGTGCAGTCAACCAATGTGGCGCGTTCGTTAGAATGCAGGCGGGGAGTCGGACAGGCAGGGAGTCGGGCGGGGAAAGAACGGTCATCAAAGTCTTTGGGGCCAGCTTCTTGGTCAAACAGCATGCCAAACGTCAGAGGCGTCTGCAGAGTCCACACAGAGTCCAGAGAGCGTCGTCCATATGCGGAAACGCAATTTTGTCGTTATTTATGGACCTTGGCGTGCATGCAACATGCATGCAGCTGAGGCAGCCACAGACATAGACGCAGTTGCAGCCTCCGCTATAACAGGATGACCATCGACGTGGCATTAGAAGAAGCTGCTGCTGCTGCTGCTGCTGTTGTTGTTGTTGTTGTTGTTGTTGTTGTTGTTGCCGCATGCAGATTCGGTTGACGATGACTTAGTTGGTGTTGCAGCAGCAGCAGGCAGCAGGCAGCACCTTGCTCGAGGTGCTGCGCTTGCCACACAGTCGAGCCGTAACGGTTCTCTATTAGATTAATTTATATTCAAATTTTTATTACCTGCGCATACCAAAAGCTCGACGACGACGACGACGACGACGACGATGATGATGGCGTCGGCTGCTCCAAAATGAATTGCCAGGCTGCGGCTGCGGCTGTGGCACATCCGCGTGGATTCTGCGACTGCGGCTGAGGCTCTTTGGCTGCCTCTTTGGCTGTGTATTATTAGCCTCTCGCCTACTTGCAGATTCGATGCACGCCAAATGCCAGAGTTGTAGCTGTTGTTGTTGTTGTTGCCGTTGTTGTTGTTGCAATAACGTATAGTAGAAACAGTTACAACGGAAGCTGTCATTCGCCTTGGGAATGGGGTCTGAGGATTGCCAGCGATTGCGCTTGCTCGGGCCGAATGTTCGGGCCATGGTTAAAATAGGGGGAATGCGCTGGCGTTCCAGCTAGTTGCTGGTTGTTGTTGTTGTTGTTGTTGTTGTTGCTGTTGTTGTTGTTGTTGCTGCTGCTCTTGTTAGTGTTTGTTGGCTATCGCAATAATTAACAGTAAAACGGACAGCGGTTAATTCAAATGCATGAGAAATGCAAATGACGAAACATTTGATGCCAAAAGGACCAAAACGACAGCGAACTCTCAGCCAATGCCAATGAAGATGTTGTTGCAGCTGTTGCAGCTGTTGCAGCTGTAGCTGTTGCAGCTTCTTCTTCTTCATGCATGTGCGACAATTAGCCAAGATTTATGATAAGATCTGTGGGCTGGGCTCGCACATGCGAGCTGTGTTTAATAAGCAAAATCAATCGATCATTTATCGTGCTTGCATATCTGATCGAAAGCTGAAAATCGAAATCAAGCCAAGAAAATCGGGCCAAATGGCAACTCTATCGTTAATAATTCCCCTGTCTTTCTCCAGCTGAAACATTCCCCAGCTGTGAGTTAAGTTTAGAGTCGCAATTGAAAGTAGTCAAGAAATAATTTGGAAAGCTTAGAGCAAAAACAAATTTAACAATAATAAGTATACAAATATGGGGGATGGCAACCCTATTGTTAATAACTCTGTCTAGACTAAGACATACTAGAGATAAAAATTAAGAGTCGCAACTGAAGGGCAACAACAGATAACTACGAAATCTCAAAATCAAACAAATTTTTCACTAACACAAAGTTTACCAAGTGGCAACCCTATCCCTAATATATCTCCATCTTCGTATAGCTCTATTTAGACTAGTCCATGCCCATTATGAAAAGTTTAGAGTCGCAATTGAAAGTTATCAAGAGATAATTACGAAAACTCAGAACAAACCAATTCTACAATATTAGAAAATCGCGTCAAGTGGCAGCCCTGGCGGTGGCATCCCACTTATTTATCTCTATATTGTCTAATATACGGGCATTTAGAACCTTTTAGAACTTGAAGATAAAAGTCTCTTACCGATATGAAAAAGTCTTAAATTTATCGATCCAATTAAGGACAAATATCGATTCACTTCTTATGGTAATATTTTGAACATTGTCATATTCACTTCATCTGGTCACAATTTAGATGAATCAGGACTCTAACCCAATATATAACATGTGGAAACCCTGATAAACGAATCGAATTTAGTGTCAAGGCATTGAATCGAATCCTGAACCGAAACAGCGACAATTTCTTTTTGGTTAGATACGAAAACCTTTATCATAAAACAATCTCCCAAGATTTCTAACAGCAAGGATAAGGCTGATTCTTGCTATTAGAATTCTATATGTAACATATATATAGTATGCTATATATTATACTATATACTAACTTAAATCTACTTAAGATTAATATAAAGCTTGTTAGGCAAAGCTGATTAAAACGAATTTGACTATAGACAAAATAGAATGGATAAAAGGAAACCCTATTTGGGAAAACCTATATACAATTCTAACTTTAATTTCAATATATATTTTGATAGACTCACCCCTGCAAATGCTCCTCGACATCGGCCACAATGTAAACAGGCTGACCCGTGCCACTGGTGGCCGTCGCATAGGGCAGACCTGCCTGCACGACGACCTGGCCGTCGGATACCAGGCTGCCGATATCGCCGCCGGAGTAGATCTCGAGGCCCTTCTGGTCGCTGGTGGAGTAGATGACGGTCTTGCTGCCATCGTTGTAGATCAGATCGATGTGCTTGTCCGGCTGATACAGTTCGGGATCCAGTTTCTGGGGCACGCCCGTCAGATGCGGCAGCTGCTTGACATTCACATTGACGCCGTTCGGATCGGAGGTGGTGTAGATAATGGAGCCGCCGGCATGTTTCTTGTGATCCTCATAGATCTCCGCCTCGGTCTTGATCACATTGTCGTTGCCGTAGTGCAGCACGGAGGCGTCCAGCGGCAGCGGGGAGGTCTGATAGACGCCATGGTGCTCGTTGTTCAGCTTCTGGGCCTGGTTGTACATGGCGGTGGCCACCGCGTTGTCGTTGGGCATCAGCTTGGAGGGATCGCTGACGATGCGCGTGAGTATGTGCTCGCCGGCCTCGTTTCTGGACAGGATGTGATGCTCGCCGTTGATGATCTCCCGCGATATGATCTGCTGCTGCTCGCCATTGGGGCCGACCACGCGTATAATTTGATTCTCATCGAACTCGATCTTGGCCAGCGGCTGATGCTCCGACTGCTGCTGCTGCTGTTGCTGTTGCTGCTGCTGCTGTGTCGCCGTCAGGTGCTGTGTGCTCAACTGTGCCGCGATGCGGGCGTCTATCACTTGGCCATCGTCGTGGCCGCCATTGGAGCCGGGCCCGCCGTTGCCGCCGCCGCCTCCATTGCCGGCCCCATTGCCATCCGGCGGCATGACCACCTTGGGCGTCTCATAGATGAAGACCGCCTCCTTGTCGTAGAGCTTGGAGGAGTCCGTGTGCAGATCGAGCACATTCACGTTCGTCATCGTTGCCAGCTCCGGCTGGGGGCTGTCCGGCGAACGATGCATCGTGGTCAGCAGCGGCACGCCGTTCTGGCCCAAAGGGGAGCTGTTGCTGCTGGCGACTATGTTGGCGCCCTGCTGTATGGGCGACAGTGAGGCGTCGCTCAGATGGCCACCTACGCCCACGCCCACGCCCACGCCGACGCCGACGCCTACGCCCACGCCCAGGCGATGCTGTTGCTGCTGCTGATGTTGTTGCTGCTGCTGTTGCTGTTGCTGATGTTGTTGTTGTTGCTGATGGGGATGCGAATGCAGGGTGTGCGTATGCGTGTGCGTGTGGGCGTGACCGTGCGTATGGGCGTGTGCGTGGGCGGACAGCGATAGATCGTTCGACGTGATGACGCTCGTTGTCGCCGTGGATGTGGACATTATCTAGATGTACGGCTCAGTGTGCCCAAAAAGTCGCCCCTGCGGCGACTCAAAACTTAATGAAGATGGAAGACTTTGAACTTTGAACTTGAGTTGTTGTTGTTGCGGCTGGCAAATGGCGATGGCATTCGAAGTTGTTGTTGCAAGATGTTGCAGGTGTTGCAAGTTGTTGTTGTTGTTGTTGTTGTTGTTGTTGTTGTTAGTGGCAAGCTTTGTTGTTACGAGTATATAAACATTATTAATATCACTATCACGTTTTGAATGAAGGCACTTGTTGTTGTTGTTATTGTTGTTGTTGTAAATGTGGTTGTTGTTGTTGTTGTTGCTCTGCTCGTTGTCGCTTCAATATTGCATTTTATGGCACTAAGGAACTTGGGTAACAACTAGCTCCTTCACGTTGTAATTAGCTGAAATGATAAAAGCATAAAACAAACAAATATTTTAGTTAGGTAGCTTAAATGAACTTTGTTTAGTATTATAAAACATTCAAATATGCGAGACTGTAAAAAGAAAATATAAAAAAACAAGTAAGAGGTTCTAGTCGGGAGCTCCCGACTAGAGTATACCCTGAACCCTCTTTTTCCAACATCAAATGCATATATATATATATTTTATTTTAGAAGCTATATGTCAAGTTTGGTGACTCTAGCTCTTATTATTTACCAAAATTGCCCAAAAAACAGGATATCGATATCGATCAATTTTATCAATTGCTTGGAAACGGAGCAAGTTATCGGTTATCGGAACCAAACTCGATCTGCGCGGGAGCTAGGAGCATCTATATCTAAAATTTCAAGTCTCTAGCTCTTATAGGTTCTGAGATCCTTGCGTTCATACATACGGACGGACGGACGGACGGACGGACGGACATGGCTAGATCGACTCGGCTATTGGTGCTGATCAAGAATATATATACTTTATGGGGTCGGAGATGGTTCCTTCTGCCTGTTACATGCATTTGGATTTTGCACAAATACAATATACCCTTATACCCATTTTTAATGGGTTCAGGGTATAAAAAATAGCAAAAGCTTTTAACTAACTAACTCGCTTGCCAAATCTTAAAGCTATTTAGTAATAATATTTATTTATTGCTTTATTATAGAATAATATTTATTGCTCCATGTTTTTTATTATATAATTATATTTACTACTCAACGTAATAATGTTTATTTTGGAATAATATTTATTAATTTTAAATTTTTCGAGCTTTTGAGCTTCTTTGTTCTCGAAGTTATACTCTTAAGTTCGAGAGAAATTTATTTGGGAAAATAAAATTGATAAGTTTCGAAAATATATAATAACTATTGCATCATATTCTCTTCATGTTAATGTTCTATTTCATATTCTATTACATTTGAAAGCTTAGATCACATTCAAAAGGCCCAATTTAAAGCTCAAAAACAACCTATTTGAAGAACTTAAATAAGGAAAACTAAATTAGGTTTAAATACTCTTGGAGAATAAATAAGAACTTTGCCACATTCCACTAATTTTATTTAATTTGAAAACTTAAAAGATTTCCAAAAATGAGCAACAGGCTGTTGTTGGGCTTGGGCGAGGTGTCTGTGTGTGTGTGTGTGGGGGGGGGGGGGGGGGGGGGGGGGGGGGGGGGGGATACCAAATAATAAAAACAAAACGAAACGTAAACGGAATGTGGAATGTGGAACGGGTTCAAACGGCGGCGGTTTCCCCGATGAGTCGATAATGCGATGAGTTGTTGTTGTTGTTGTTGTTGTTGTTGTTGTTGTTGTTGTTGTTGTTGTTGTTGTTGTTGTTGTTGAGCTGAACGATTTGCAAGCGAACAAACATGCAAACAAACATAAACAGAAACCGAAACGGAAACAGAAACGAGACGAAATACAAGTGTGAGTCTCTGTGTGTGTGTGTATGTGTATGTGTGTGTGCGTGTGTAGGGTGGCGGGGAAGGGTGGAACAAACGGAACAGACGGAACAGGCGGAGGGACAGACCAAACAAAAGCTGCACACACGTGCCCGTCGAACTAGTTTGACTCCTTCGCAAATGTCAAACGTGTAACTGCATAACTCATCACATCAACAACAACAGGTGGAAAGAAGCAGCAGCAGCGGCAGCGGCAGCAGCGGCAGCAGCTGAGCTTAAGTTGGCAGCGCTGCCGGCGCGACGCTGGGCCGCTGCTTATTTGTGTTTTGTTTTGTTTTGTTTTGTTTACAGCTGGAAATTAAACGTAGCTAAGCCAGAAAATGCCGCTACACCAGATCCATCAGCAGCAGCTCGAATAGTCCAGTTTTTATGTGTGTGTGTGTGTGTGTGTGTTTTTTTTTTGGGATGAATTTCGATTTCGATTTCGGTTGCGGCCAGTTTCAGAATTTCACGCAAAAGCAAACATGTTTGCGAAACGAAACGTTAGCAACGAGTGGCAACAACTTGTTGTTGTTGTTGTTGTTGCTGGGTGTTTTTTAGAACAGGTACCGGTAGTCGGAAACAACAACAACAACAACAAGTCAATCCTTGACCTAATCCAGAAGTTGCCGTTTGCCGGACTTTCTGGTTCAGCCACAAAAAGTTGGCAACCTGCCTGGCCCCTGCATCAGGTTCAGGTGGCACGTCCACTCGCTGCCAGTTATTGTTTGATAAAACACAACAACAACAACAACAATAAGAAGAAGAAGAAGAAACAAACAAAGTTCATGCGACTTGGTGTCTGTTGGGGATGTGGATAAACTTGTTTTTCGTCAGTTCAACCGGCTCGAGTTCGAGTTCGACTTCGAGTTCGAGCTGTGTCAGAGTGAGACGCGTTCCACGGCGTCTGCGGATCGTGTCTAACCGTCTGCTCCTCTGGCTCACTGGCTCACTGGCTCACTGGCTGGCTGGGCTGGCTGGGCTGGCTTGTTCCGTTAGTAGGTGAGGTCAGTGTCATGTGGCGCGCTTATAGACTAGTTTTTGGCACACACTCGCACACTCGCACACACCTTTTCGGTGGGTGCACTGGGGGTGCGGCTGCATCGGTGACCGCGCAAAACCGGTCAATATACTGACAAGCTGGCACCCGGCACACGTGGCCCCAAAGGCCGCAGGCGACAGATACTCAAATGCGATTTACCTGCCGCGTATTTGCTGGCAATTAGAAAACAATTAAAACGACATCAATATCAAAGCCAAAAGCTGTCTGCCCGAATTGGGGTCAACCCCCCTCCCCCCCCCCTCCCACTCGGAGTGCCCCTCGAGCTGGCGAGGCTTTTGGCCATTTAGCCAGAAAGTACTTTCAAGAGCAACAGCAAAGATATAATAATAAAAGAAAGAGAACTTGAGCCAAATCTGATTCTGAACTGTTTTGTCTACTTGGTCTTAAGCAAATTGTATGATTGTCAGATTGTCAGTTTGAGAGATTGAGAGATTGAGGCGGGGCTCTGCGACTTTTACCCATTTCAATTTAGAACAGATTTGCGGATAAACTAAGTGTTAAGTGTTAGGTCTTAACAAATTCCGAGCATCTTTTGGCTATGAGAAGCTAAGGATTCGATTTCTATGCTGAATGCTCCAGTTAAAGTCAGACTAGCCTATATATTCCATAATATTCCAACTATTTAATATTCTATATACATTCTAGATTCGTTTATTTGAATCCCATTTTAATCCAATGTATATTAGATGTCGGGAGCTTCTAACCCCTATTCTAACCCCATTCCATATTCATAACATTCCTTTGCCTAATATCAGAAAACAGACGATTCTATAGAATGTTTTCTTTGATCTAATTCGTTGGGTTTTTAAAACATCTTATATTCAAAAAAAATTCAAAATTAAAAACAATTTAAAATAAAAGTTTCTTATATTTAGTTTATACTTCGTTTTTAGTTAGCCCCTATATCATATTAATCTTACCAAAAATGATTTTAGACTTTGTTTTTAAACAATTTCTGGCGTCAGTTATAACATGGCCTAATATATAGCTATATTGGATAGTATAAAATCTTGTTGGAATATTTTTTTGTTGCTATTTTTACAGAATTCTATAGGAAGCTCAGCAATGTCTTTCCAGCTATAAAACATAAAAAAGGGAATAACTAAAAATTAAGGTTCTTGCATTAAACCTTTGACTTTCGTAAACATCTGATTGATTGATTGACTGATTGATGGCCTGACTGAGAACTTTAGGTTCCCGATGTGAAGGACTTTGACTGGGTTGAATCACCAAATTTACCACGGGCAAGGCCGGGTAATATGCGCTAGGAAAACGAGGTTTTTGGGAATGGAATCTTGAAAGCATATTAGATATAAATCTCAGTATTAGACATATATGATATATATGTAAATCAGATATATATATATATCAGTATAGGATATATATGATATATACATCAGATATATGTATATATTTCACGGCAAAGATAATTGTATTTGTTTTTTTTTAATCAATGTTCAATATAATAATATCTTTGGCATATAAATTTCTCAAGTATTCTCATGTATTTCAAATTGGCTAAAACATAATTTTTCCCAGCGGCAATATATATAAGTATATACAACATTTACACATTAAGTGAAAAGCAACTTTTTTTTGTAATTTATTCACTTTAGAAATTTAATCTGTGCATTGTTTTTATTATAGAATCTTAATATACGCCATACGCATTCAACTTAGCCAGGGCCGGGGTCCAAAGATAGAGGAATAATCGTTTCGAAGCAATACGATTTGGAATCCCATCTAGATTTGACATAATTTAGACCCAGACGGTCATTTCATATACAGACACATGCATGTGCGTGCGTGTGTGTGTGCGTGTGTGTGAGCACCCTGGACAGCGTTACCAAAGACAAGAAATGTACGAACCTAACCCTAAGCCATCGGTCAGAGCCGGGCATCAATAACTACACGAACCCAACTGAAAAAGCAAAGGCGCAGAGACGGCGACTGAGAGCCAGAGCCAGAGTTAGCGCAGAGAAGGTAAGAAAAACGCAGAAAAAGAAAAGAAAAACAATAAACGTTAACACGAACACGAAAATAAAATAACTCTCTCACGAAGTTAACTGCCCGCCCCAAGCCCCTTTCGGTTGCCCACCTTTGGCGCGCCTTGGCTTTTGTGTGGGTTAAGTGTGCCCCGACTCTTTGTCTCTGTGTGTGTGTGTGTGTGTGTGTAAGCTGACGTGCACATGTGAGTGTCATTATGCATTGGTATGTGTGTGTGTGTGTGTGTGCTGCGTAGTGGCTAACGCAAGACAACGACAACGACAACGACAACGACGACAGCGA